TTTAAACTATACAAAAAGAAAAAAGGCATTAATTTAAAATTTATTATTCTTTTAAAAATAGGCTGTACAGAGTGGCACGTACCTGTAATCCCAGGACTTGGGAGACAGAAACTGGAGGATCACAAGTTCCAGGCTAACCAAGGCTACACATTTTTGAGACTGTCTCAAAAAGAAAGAAGAAAAATAATCATACTGTGGGACTCTTCTACTTAAACACCTCCTTGGCTTCCTACTCTCCTAGAAAATAAATACTTTAGTATAGCATACAAGGTCATTCATAAATTTGCCCCAACCTACTTCTTCTATTTTATTCCTTAATACTCTCTATTCACTTTCTGTACATAAAAATAAAAACAGGAGCCAAGTGTGGTGGCACATAGCTGTAATCCCAGCACTAAGGAGGCAGAGATAGGAGGATAGCAAATTCCAGGACAGCTTGGGCTTGCAACATAGTAAGGCAAGCCTGAGCTACATAGCAAGATCCTGTCTCAAAAAATCAAGGGCTGGGGATACAGCTCAGCAGTATAGATAGCACTTGCCTGTCATGTACAAGATCCTGGGTTCCATTCCCAGTACCACAAAAACAAAACAATACTGTATAAAAATTTACAGGAGGAAATAAAGACCAACTTCAGGATAGTAGTTACTTCTGGAAAAAGGAGAAATCTAGGGAGGTGTTTCCTGGGGGGGGAGGTTCACCTATATCTGAAATGATTTTTAAAAACTGTGATGATGATAATGAAAACACTAAAGCAAAGATCTGAATCAAATATGGCAAAATATTAAGATTTGACAAAGCTAAGTGGTAGGTGATAAGAATGCTTTTTATATCATTAGCAATACTTTTCAGTTTGCTTAAACAAGGGCGGACACACTAAGTCCATATGCCAAATCTGGCCCATTGCCTTTTTGTCTAAGTCTTGGAATTAAGAATAATTTTACATTTTTAAAACTTTTATTTTTTTTTAAAAGAACTACAAAGAAGACTATGTGACAATGACTTGTGACACACAAAGTCTAAAATATTTACTATCTGGCCCTTCACAGAAAAAGTTAGCCAATTCCTGTATTAAAACATTTTGTAGCAAAAGATTTTTTAAGAGACAACTAAATTAAGGAAGAATGTTATTTGTTTTTATTTTTTTTGCATGAAGCATCTTCCTGAATTAAACATATTACCTGTCCCTTTAAATCAACTTTTCATTAATAATTTTTCTTTTCTTTTTTTTTTTGGTGGGGGGATGGTACTGGGGTTTGAACTGAGGGCTTTGCACTTGCTAGGCAGGTGCTTTACTTCTTGAGTCACTCTGCCATCCCCTTTTACTCTGGTTATTTTTGAGATAAGGTCTTGCTTTTTGCTGAGGCTGGCCTGGACATGATCCTCCTATTTTTCCGCCTCCCTCCGTAACTGGGATGACAAGTATGCATCACTGTGCCCAGTTATTGGTTGAGATGGTGTCTTGTGAACTTTTTGCCCAGGCTGGCCTCAAATCAGCCTGATCTAAGCCTCACAAATAGACAGTATAATAGGCTTGAGCCAACAAGCCTAGCCTTTTCAACTTTTATCAAGTAGAAATCTCATTAAATTTTATCTTATTCTGTGATATTGTAACTCATTTAAAAGAATCACAGAGGACAGTACTTTAATCAGATTCTGATTTTAATCCACACTTGTAGAAAACTGGGAAGCTAATTTAGAGCCCAGTATGGCATTATAAGTAGCTGTACTTAGACTGGGGGTGTCACTGGAGACCCACTCCCAAGATTGGGTGCATCATCTGAGGCCCAGCTGTCCCTTTTCATAGGAAATAATGGGAGACAAAGGTTGAATAATATTTAAAATGCTGTATCACAATAAGAGCTTCTGGTTGTAATGGGTATGGAGGCATTCAATACATCTAAAAGTTTTGCTGGGCTTAGTTGACAATTACTGGTAGCTCTTAGGATATCATTATCATTTTGAGGTTGCCATTCTTTCCCTTGTACAATGTTTTAAACACGTATTTTTGCTCAGTTTTGTAATTAATTTCCACAGCTTCTCCCCCAGTGATCACCCAAATTAACTAGAGATATTATATAACTGGTACTTCCAAGCTGTGTTTGCTAAAAGTACTGACTCTTTACTTAGGCCTGAAGATGTGCAATGGGTAGCTAAAAGCAGAATAAAAAACACTGGACTTAGCCAGGTGACTATGGCTCATGCCGATACTACTAGCTACTCAGGAGGCAGAGATGAGGAGGATCGTAATTTGAAGCCAGCCTGGGCAAATAGTACCTGAGACCCTATCTTGAAAAAAATAACAATCACAAAAAAGCACTGATGGAGTAGCTTAAAAGGGGTACACCCTGAGCTCAAACCTTAATACTACAAAAACAAAAACAACAAAAACTTGGCACTTTGCTTCTATGAACTGTCTTTTTCTCTGAGTCATTCCCTCCTGCAGTCACCTTGGATTCCAGGAACAACAGGACTTATGGATAAACATCTCATGAAAAGAGGTGAAACTAACACCCGCAGATTTTACAGAAATGCTCAGTGAGCATGAGTGAAACCATTATTTAATACCTTTATGTACATATTGCATTGTTTTAAACTTTAATGTCACTGATAACAAAAAACAGCAGTCACAAAACATGTACCAGATAAAAATTATTATCTGATCACAATACACCTTTTTTCCCTGAACAATGAATATTTTTTTTTTCTTTTTCTTTATTTTTTGCAATGCTGGGGACTGAACCCGGGGCCTCACACATGCTAGGCAAGTGCTCTAATACTGAGCTATATCCCCAGCCCTTGGTTTTTTGAGACAGGGTTTTGCTATGTAGCTCAGGCTGGCCTTTGACTTGCTGTGTAGCTCAGAATAGCCTTGAACTTGTTATATCCTTTTGTCTCTGCCTCCTGAATGTTATAATTACGGGTATGCACCACCATGCCCAGCTCGAATGAAATTTTATGGTACAAGGGATTGATCCCAAGGCCTCATGCATGCTGGGCAAGAGCTCTACTACCTGAGCCATGTTCCCTTATACGAAATTATTTTTTTCTCATGTGCTAACTCAATACGAATTTCTTGAGGGATTGCTAAGAAGACTAATTAGCAGATAATACCTGATACTTCCCCCTAGAGGCTGTGGAATATAAATTAATAGGAAGGGAATATAATTATAGAGGTCCTAGAACTCTTTTAGAAGGGCTGTAATTTGAAGGATCAATAATCATTAATGGGTCCCTGTTTAGCTTAAATGCTTACTAAATAGGATTAGAAATGTTGGAGGGAACGGAGATTAAGGTCTAGTAATAAGCTATCTGAATACTTGATTTTTGGGCTGATGGAGTGATTCAAGTGGTAGAGCACCTGCCAAGCAAGTGCGAAGTCCTAAGTTCAAATCACAGAACAACCAAAAAAATTTTCTTAAAATGAATAACTGGTTTTCAAGGTCACTGCACAATTACCTCTCTTGAGATAAAAAAAGGTTTAAGAGTTCTATTTGTTTTGGCTGATAATGCCTGATTTGACCAGTTGTTTTCTTTACCATGGTTCTTCAGTTAATAATTACAAAAATAGGATCATATGGTACATATTGCTGAATAACTTAAAAATATTTCAAATGAAATTTTTAATGAAGCTATAATAAAACGTAATTTGATTTTTAACTTGGACACATACATGCCATCTCTAAGGTACAATTTAAACAAATATGTAAAATTTAAGAACATAAAAAAGGCATAAATAATATGACAAAATACCTAATAATCTGCCACCCAGATTATGAAGAGAGTATTACTAAAACTATTAAGACACCCTGTATACCTTTTCTTGGTTGCATCTTTCTTCCTTCCTCAAGGTGAGTCAATGTTGTGTTTGGCATATCTCTGTATATCTTTATAGTTTTTGTGTAAATGTAGGTATCTCAAAGTAATTCGTATCATTATTTTACAACTTGTTTTTGTCAATAGCTTTGTATCTGTGAATTCATACATTGATGTGTATGAACACTAATGTGGCAGAGATTGCATTTACTAAACAGTCCATGTGCTTCCGCATGTTTCCTGGATTTTAGGTTGGGAGCACTAGACTATGAGCAGAAGTTAAGCGTGTCATGTAAAAAGGCAGTTAAAAGCACCATCACTTTCTTCTCTTTCCTCAGTGAACTCATAGGCTACAGATCCCACATGGCACAATGAGGTGACAGTAAGAATATGGAGGCATCATTAGTCTAGGTGCTTGAATACGGCAATGAAGAGCCCCTCGTTAACTCATGGACTTGTAAATGAACAAGGAATAATCTTATTACACTGACACAGGTATGTATACACAGATGGACAGATAACTGACTTTCCGAGAGTATTCAAAAACAATGTTATCAGTAAGGGATAGATTCAAATCCTTTTGAAAATAATTCTATGATTGCAGATTGATATTTATTCTCACTTACATGGAGAAACAAATCTCACGTACTTCGGTTCTTACTGTTTTTGAAAGCCTACTGCACTAGCAGTAAGTTCTTTCACAGTAGAGTTTACATGTTCACATACTGCTCAGGAATGTCTGCCTCCCCAACCAGATTATTAAGCACTTTAAGAATTGTGTCCTCTCTTCTTTTGCATCCTACTCTGCATCTTGTAGATGTCACACAGATATTAAGGACTGGTTTCTTAGTTAGCAGGAAAGAATGAGGATTAATATTCAATGCATAAGTTATGCTTCACATTAAGTTATCTTGATCCTTACTATTTCTGCTACACAGATAAGGATATTAAGGCTAAGTGACTTTCTTTTGATCATGGTACTAGAAAGAAAATGAAGGGCATGGAAAGGGCATTTGCAGCCAGTCTGTTTGATTCTAAAGCCTTTGCTTCTCAATGATTGGACTGAGTGAGATCATTCCTAATACAGAACAAAAATTGCTAACGAAAATAATTTTGCTTATAAATTTTACAAACATTAAAACATGTTTTTGGAGATTTCTCAGGACTCAAGATTGTTGGTTCTTACCTTTATCACCTCTGGGGTCTGTTGAATCAAAACCACTGAAGTAGTATCATTGACTTTATCACCAACAGGACTTCTACAGGCTGATAAATTGGCCTGGCTGGAAGTTGTCAAGGTTTCCTGTAGAATTTGCATCATTTCCTTTTCTTGTGAAAGGCTCCCTCGACCAGATTTGCATTCAACTAGCTCTTGAGCAAAGTCTTCAATGCTTTCCAGAATTCGCAGTAAGAGGGCCCGATCCTCTTCCTCTATTTTATGCCCATTGGTTTCAATAATCCTTGTTAGACAAGAAGGCGAGACTTTTTCTGCTGGTGAAGAGACTTCAGATTTAGCCTCAAGATCTTCAGCGATTTGACCAGTCAAATGACTGTGACTATTTAGAGAAGTGGAGTTTTTACCCTTGGCAAACGGCTCTTTTAGAGAGGTCTCCATCTTCTGAGAAAATGATTCTAAATCCATTAATAACTTATCAATCTCTTCCTGACTGTTAGAGTTCACAAAATCCCTCTGGTCTCTTGCTTCTGCTTTAGGAACTTGTGACTTAGAGTCTTCTTCAGGTGGACGAACAACTGCTTTCTCAAATACCTTACCAATTTTGTTTTGCACTGAGGCAGGACATTTCATAAGATTAGTATCATGGTCTGAAAATTCTGCTCTGTGTTCATTTACCTTTAACATATCCTGACTGGGTCCATTCTCTGCCCTTTGTCCTTTGTCTGCTAATGCCTTCTTTCCATCTGATTCTTCTTCAATATAAAGAGTTTCCATTAAATCACCAGAAGAAACATTCTCCAAAGGATTAATGGTTAATGATGGTGAATGAAGTTGGACAGCTTTTACAGTTCTTGGATTACTTACCTCCAAGCTATATAAAGACTTTGTGGAGCTCTTTGGAGTACCTTTTACAGAGTCCTTTTTTCTGCAATTATATTTTTCATCTTGCAAATCAATAGTTTGAAACTGTCCAGAGTCAGAACCCGAGAGCTGGACAACATCTTCATATTTAGGAGGCTGTTCAGTGCCATATATTGGGGAGAAAGGAGTCAGCTGTAAGCTAGGCATATTACTGACCAGTTCTGTTAAATCTATAGCCTCATTATTCCCAGTCTGCATGAATTCAAATGGTAACTTTTTCAGATAGGATGCTAACCTAGTCATTACATTCATATAGACAGTTTCAGAACTAGAAATTGCATCACTACTTCCTTCATTAATGCTACCTCCTGACTTTTTCTTTATGCATTGTTTTATAATGTCTGTACATTTTTTCAAATCCTCAGAGCATTTCAGTAAGATGTCCAAGCACATTTTTATGTCTGTCCCAGAAGAAAAGTGATCTATTTTATGTTTTTCCAAAATCTGAGTGACCAGGTCTTCTTCAGAGAAGTTCTGAAGAAGCATAGAAGTCAGGTTTGTATCAAGGGAGTTTCTATGGGACAAGGATTTTTCCTCCACTGAGGAACTCCGGAGTAAGCCAAAGGATGGGGAGGTCCCATCACTGTTATAATGGCCACACAGCAAGTCAAAATCAACTGACCTCCTATTAAATGAGTCAGACTTAACTTTCCTTCCCTTTTTGTAAGCTGCATGATTAGAGTTTTTGAGTTTTTCAAGAGAAAATTCTTTTATTTTCCCACTGGCAAAACTGATTGCTTCTCCTGCAATGTCCTTTAAGTTACATGTATTCTGAAATGTAGATGCTCTCTTGACCCTGGGTATGCCTATGAGGGCCTGATGGGGATAGTCACTTTCTGCTGAGGAAAGTCCGTTTTCATGCGGTAGAAAAATACAGTTCAGATCCACATCTTTGAACTCAGACACAGGAATGTGCAAGAGGTCTGCACAAACACTGTGATGTACCACAATGCAGTCAATTCCATGTGTGAAGGTGTGGCAGGTTCCAGTGCAATAATGTATAGCCTGCTCAAAACGCCGGTCTATCACCACACTGCTGTAGTGGTTCACAGTACTAACCACAAGTCTATAAGCTGCTGCCATAATATCAAATCCACTTAGTGGTAGGACTTGGAACTTTCTTGAACTTGTTTCAAGAAAATTCTCCTATGTGACACTTAACTGAAAATATATTTAACGACAATGTTCAGTGATTTCTTGAAAATGTCATGATGTTTTCCACAAAGGGAAACCACTTAAATTTGAGGTTTGGTGACAAGAAGTATACAGTAGTTGCTGCACATGGGTGCTTGTATAAGCAAGTCTAATAATTTAAGAATTGTGCTTATTTTGTGATATTTGAGTTTATTTTTATGAAAGAACAGTCTTTTAGTTCTTCGGCAGTTCTACTATGTGGAAATTTATTGTCACAAATTAACTGCCATAAATCTTAGTTGGTAGTATAGAAGTATTGTGATAATTGAGTCCTCCAAAGGTTTATACGATCCATTTTTCTGTGAATGACAGAGAAACCTATAACGAAAGAAGACAATAATGAAAAGAAAAGGTTTTCTTAACACTAGAACTTTTATTTCCTCTTTCTCTGCATTCCATCTGCAGTTAATCAGTAAACTCTATTCCCCGACTTATCACTGACTGCTGATATTCACTCAACACAAGCTTTCGTTTTATCACACTCTTTAGTCCTTTTTGTTAATTTCCTTTTTTTTTTTTTTTTTTGCAGTACTGGGGTTTAAACTCAGGACCTTGGGCTTGCTAGGTAAATGCTTGTTCCAAACACTCAGCCCTTTTTTTGCTTTAGTTATTTTTCAGATAAGGTTTTGTGCTTGTTGCCCGGGGCATGCCTAAAACCAAAATCTTCCCTATCTCCATCTCCTAAGTAGGTGAAATCACAGGCATACACCACCATGCCTGCCCCCTCTCCACTTTTCACCTCAAATAGTGTCACCTTAACTGTCTTGTTGCATCTACCTCTCAACCGATACTTCTTATCCCTCTCTTCTGGCTCTCTTATATGATACTAATAAGTTTAGATCTAGACAACTGTGTCATCCCTCATAGCTCAGGAAATGCTTTCCAATATTGCTCTCAGTCATAGATCATGAAAGGTCTACCTCTTTTGATCCACTTTTAAGCCCCTCAACATCTGCTAGAGATACCTATTCCCAAACTTTCTACAATTCCCCTGTACTAACTTTTTGCTTCCATTAACCATATCTTCTGAAAGACTGCCAACATATAGTGCCTGTTCGTGATTTTGAAACTTCTTCTACGCTTGGAAATTATGGTCCCATCATGTTCTCTTTTCTTCTTATTTAGAGAAAAACAACCTTTATTACTACTCTTGGTCACACCCTCCCAGACAGATTATCCCAGGCAGATTATCTCTCTAGCAAGTGAATAAAACTTACTTAATCATTCTCTTGTTTTTCAAAAAAATGGCTTTTAAAACATGTTGTGGAGGCTTTCCTAAAAGGCTCTATCAAAGTACCCATTTAATCTAGAAATACTGAGTGCCTGCTATGTGCAGGCTCTTTGTAAGTGCTAGGGACACAGCAGTGAATAAAGTCCCTGTCCTTACGCAGGTGAAAATCTGGTTGCAAAAAGAAAAACATGTGAGGAAACAGAAAACTTATCAGATGGTAATGTGTGTTATGGAGGAAAATAAAGCAGGGAAGTGTTTGAAAAGGAGGGGAAAGTACTGTTTTATAAGGGGAAGCCAGGGAAGACCTCACTGACATCTGAGCAGAGATCTGATAATACCCATAGAGGTATTGTCAGTAAATTCTTAGGCAGAGTAACCTTAAGTGCAAAGGCCCAGAGGTGGGACCATATGTGACTTACCAGAAGAATGACAGGAACTAGTGTGGTTGGAGCAGAGAAAGCAAGAGGGAACAGTGTGGGAGGTAAGTTTCGAAAGGAAAAGTGAGAGTCTTAAATCATCCAGCATCATAATCAGATTTATGTTTTAAACTGATGAATGCTGGATGTTGTGTTCAAAGACATAGAAGACAAGATAAAAAGCAGGGAAACAGTTAAGTACTACTGCAATGAGTCAGGCAAGAAGGCTGGGGATTTTGGACCAAGATAGCAACAGTGGAGATGCTTAGTTGCAATATCTCAAAGGTATAACCAGCATGATTTGCTGAAAGATAGAATGTGCAATACGGATGCATCGAGGACAGTGCATTAAGGCAATCATAGGAAGGAGACGGAGACAGCAGTGACGGAAAGCATAAGTTTAATTGCACCATCACTAGCACTGGTGTTTTAACAATAAAAATACCCATTTAATTATGAGAAACAGAACTCCACTTTTAAATTTTATTTCTTTAATTCTATAAGACTTTATTTTGCTTATTTGGTAAATTTTCTATTCTTCTCCTTTACTCATTTAGGTGCTAGGGACTTACAGAAACAATTAACATAATTAATTCATTTATAATCCTTTCTTGTGCTGTATTCTCACACTGGTTAGAATATAACTGTGTATCTTTTGATCCAGAACAAGTACTCTTTGTGCCAGTTACTATACTAATTGTAATTATTGTTAAGTTGTACTACATGGCAATGCTCCCCATATCCCTAATTATGATTCTTTTTTTTATCCCCAAAGTGTTCTTTGATGGTCTTCCAGATGAACTGTTGAACTGTCAACTTCAAGAAAACAATTCTACTGGAATTTGATTAAATTGCAATAAACTTATGAATTATTTTGAAGGAATACTGCCATCATTGTAATATTCAGATTTTCTACTCAGGAATATATAAATCTGAATTCTTAATATCGTTTTACCTCTCCCTTTGTGGTTTTCTTCAGGTGGGTCCCACCTTTTCCTTTTTGTTCTTCAGTGTCTTACCTTTGTTGCTCCATGAATGGATCTTGAACTATCATCTCATCCTCCACTTCCTTGTCGTTAAATCTCAGATGGTGGTTTATATAAAACTAGCTATACTCAGGATGGATGAAGCCAAAGCAAGAAAGATGTTCCATAGTAAAGGAAGTGCCCAGTAATTCTTAAGTAAATATACAAATAAGCCAAAGAGGAAAAATTGTTATGGAACAAAAGACAAGAATACAGAATAAGAAAGAATTATCTTTTCAAAAGATGTGTATTCTCAAACACAGGAAAGAAAGAGCACCAACTGTTAAAAACTATGCACCTTTTCAGAAACCTAAGATTTTTAAAGAAATCTTAAAAAGGTTAAAGGGAAGGTAAACACAAAGGATAAATGTTGAAAAAGTATAGGATAAGAATATGAAAAATATTTGGACTATTTTCTAATATGATTGATAAAACTGGTCCACAGGCAAAAAAACTGTGGTGACAGAAAATTTAAATATCTAGATACCTATTAAAATGTCACACAAATTATTAAACTGACAATAAAATATTTTTCTCTTAAATTTCAGATGATAGGAGGAAGTATTTCTCGCTGCCTGAATATAACCAAAACAAATGCTTAATAAAGTAATCTGACAGAAAGTACAAAGAAATAATCATGCTATATTGGTATGGAAGTTTGAACTTAGGGCCTTGCTCTTGCTAGGCAGGTGCTTTACCACTTAAACCACATCCCCAATCTCTTTGCTTTAGCCATTTTTTTAAATAGGGTATGGTTTTTTTTTGCCCAGGCAAGACTGGACCGTGATCTTATTTATACCTGTTGTGTAGTTGCTATGATAGGCATGAGGCATTAAGTCAGGCAATGTGAAGTCATTTTAGACTCACAAAGGAGTTGCAAATCTAGTAAAGGAGTTCCTATGAACCCTTTCCCCAGTTTCCCCCAGTGATAAGATCCTACATTACTGCAATACAATGATCAAAACCAGGAAACTGATATAAGTACCGTTAACCACAGAATTTACTTGGATTTTACCAGTCTTCCACATACTCCTTTCCTCTCTCACTCCCTCCTATATTTTAACAATCAGGATGCAGACTGTTCATCATACCCTCTAAAGTCCCTAATATGTCCCTTTTGTAGTCACATGCTAACCCTAATAAGGCTGCTATAATTTCATCAATTTTATGTGGAACATACAGTATGCAGCCTTTTGAGACTGACTTTTCTCACTTAATATTTCACATTACCACACGTATCAATAGTCCATCACTTTTCATTGCTGCATACTATGCCACTTTATGGATATACCACTGCCTGTAACCATTCATCCAAAAAAGGCTTTTTATGTTGTTTCCATCTTTATTAGCATAAATTGTACAAAGGGGATCCATTGTGCTATCTCCATAGAAATACAATGTACTTTGACCAAATTCACCATCTCTATTATACTCTTAACCCTTTTAAACAGTACTTAGTGGGTTTCATTATGCTATCTTCACGTGTTTGTGTGTGTGTGTGTGTGTGTGTGTGTGTGTGTGTGTGTGTGTGTGTGTGTGTATCTACTTCGACGATGTTCAGCCACCAGCATCCCACTCTTTTCCCCTCCCTCTTCTCACTGATAAACCCTGCCAAATCAGTCCCCTTTTTATGTTCATGTTACTATTATAATTATTTTAGATCTAGATTCCACATATTGTGAAAACATGCAATTTTTTGTTTTTTGAGCTTGGCTTATCTGGTTCAACCTGATGATCTCCAGCTCCCTCCATTTTCCTACAAATGAAAATTTCCTTCTTCTTTATGGCTGAATGATATTCTATTGCATATATATATACACACACCACATTTTCTTCATCTATTGTTGGGCATCTAGACTGAGTCCATGGGTTTACTATTGCAAATAGTGCTGAGATAAACATGGATGTGCAGGTATCTCTTTTATATGTTGACTTTCACTTCTTTGGATACATGCCAAAGACAGATACAGCAGGTTCATAAGGAATTTCTATTTTTAGTTTTTGAGGAACCTCCATACTGATTTTCACAGTGGTTGCACTAATTTACATTCCTATCAACAGAGTATAAGGGGTCCTTTTCTTCCCTTCCCTCTGTATTCCCACCAGCATTTGTTGTTGTTTTCTTGATGATTGCCATCCTGACTGGGATGAGATGGAATCTCAGTGTTGTTTTGATTTGCATTTCCTTTACGGCTACAGATGTCAAACACTTCTTTATGCATTTTATTGGCCATTTGTGTTTATTCGTTGAAAACTGTCTCTTCAGTTCATTTGTTCATTTATTAATTGTTCTTTTGATGTATAATTGTTTGAGCTCTTTCTATATTCTGGATATTAATCCTTTGATGAATAGTTTGCCAAGATTTCCTCCCATTCTGAGGGTTCTCTCTTCATTCTGGTAATTGTTTCCTTTGATGTGCAAAAACTCTTTAATTTGATGCAATCTCATTTGTCGATTTGTGTTATTTCCCAGGCAATTGAAAGACTTATTCAGAAAGGCATTATCTATGCCTGTATCTTCAAATATTTTCCTGTTGTAGCTCAAAGTTTCAGATCTGTGCTCCACTTTGAATTGAGTTTTGTATAGGATGATAGACTGGGATCTAGTTTCAGTTTTCTACATGTGGATATCCAGTTTTCTCAACACC